AATAAATAATTTTAAACACCAATTCAATTGCAAAATCTAAATTCTAACTTTAATGCTAAAGTTATAACTTTAAAATAATTTGCAAAATTCTTATTTGGGCCAGATTTTAGATTAGAATAATTTTAATCTGATTTTTATTAATCAGATCATTTACTAACTATATAGTATAAATAAATTAAAAAGACAAGCAACTATCAGTAAGAATAATACATGCTTTTAAAGATATGGCAGTATTAAAAAAAAACTAAAAACTAACTGCAGAATAGAGATTAAAGCAGCTTAAAATTTTTTAATTATTTAACTATTTAACTATGTAATTTAGCAAATATTAAAATAATTCTAACTATAATAAAGATAATTCTGTCAAATTGATTTTTAAACAATTAAACCTTATTATTACTACAGAATGTATTAGAGTATCATATCAGTCTAATTACAAATATAGTGTGATATAGTGATCATTAATCAATGAGTGTAATAGTAAAAACATAAAATTTAAATGCAATAATTCTTGAGCCAGCAAACCCAAACAAATAAAATTGTATTTTTTGGATTCATTTTAGTGTGCTCTTTAAAATAACAACTCTTTTTTTAAAATTAATTTTATTGTTTAAAGCATAGCAAAAAACCTAATTTTCATGCAAAATTGTCATTTTTGATATACTTTTAATAAAAATATCAAAAATATAACTTTGAATTTAAAAAACATGCTAAAATAAATCAAACAAATATAATTTTATTTGTATAGATTTGTTAGCTCAAAAGTTATTGCAGATTAAATTTTATATGTTTACTACCTATAGTTGGCAGTAAAATTACTGAATTAAGGCATTACAGCATTGTATATATCTAATTGCTATATCAGGAACAGTACCAGAAACTGAGTGCAACAAAGTGCATAGTTTTACAGTAAGTAAAGTGTCTTTATGCAAATATGTGCATCTTATTAATTAGTATATATATATATATGCATTGTAAAATGCTTATCCTATTTGTTTGTAATTATATTCATGATTTATTAGGCTTACTATTACTGATTTAAATCTTTTTTATACTGGTTTATTGCTATTGTTATATATATCAATATAGTTTTGTGTTCTCATAGTGTTCGGTCTTATGTGATTTTAAATATTTTTTATTTTTTAATAAAAAAATCTCTGAAATTGCACTCAATCTGGTTGTGTCTCAAATTTGTCTAATGTATTATGATATCAGGTTATATATCAATTTTATCTGTTTTTGAATATCAGGAACAAAGTGAAACAAAGTGTATAATTATACAAAAATAAAATTTTGTATAGATTCTTAGTATATAATTGGGTTATTCATTATTGTGACTTTGTGTAGCACCCTGAACAATACTTTAAAAGGTAGTTATATTTCTGTATACAAAGTCTTAAAATTAATTAGTCTGCATGACTTATTCATAATTTAGTAAAAAAAAAAATCAATAAAGAAGCATATACATCTGTAAAATCAAAAATGCAATAACAAACAATAGTAAAATAATTTTTTTGGCATAAAAATTAGTAACCTGATATAAATTTAAAGTTTTCAATGCTAAATATTTTGTAATTATTATTTTTTTTCATTAAATTTTTATTAGGCAGATAAAATGATAATTACAGATTATTAAAAACTTAATTAATATGTATCTGATTAGATGATTTATTCTTATGATTTTGTAGCTTTTTGACTAGTTTGTTAATAAAGTGACAAGACCTGCATTATTTTAAGATTTTATTACAACATGTGACCAAATATATATATATCAAAAAGGTCATATAAAGTTCTATGATATAATGGAATTTTTTAAAAGATTGAATTTGTATAAAAGTTCTTATAAAAAAAAATTGGAATTTAAATAAAGATTATTTGTTAGTATTAATGTTAATATAAATTTCACTTTAAAAACTACCTTCTGTTCCTGGTTTCATATAACAATATCATGCAGCTACCTTATAAATATTATATGCCAAATGCTATAATGTATTATGGTATTATAGCATTACAGCTCAAAAAAATTACAACAAATTACTAAATTAATTCTACTAGTAACTACTATAAAAAAATCATTAATTAAGGGGTATGTGACTTAGTGAAGTGAATAGGTTGTCAACCTTCAAGTGGCAGGTCTAGAGTTCAAATCCCAGTAATAGTAAAAATTTGCAATTTTTTCTGTATTACAGTTAACTGTCTTCTGTAATTAGTTGGGATAAAACATCTGTAACTTATATCATATCAGCATGACTAAAAGGTTTATGCATTTGTGCAATATTGTATAAAGCATACAAACCAGTACCAGGTGGTATGAACTCAAGATAAGTCCTTAGGTCATGTAAATTATAGAAACCAGATAAGAAGATAGAAGCCCACTTGGAAGATCTAAGTAGAGAGATAACCTGAACCTTTGACAGTGCTACTGTAAAGACTAAACTTATAAAATAGAACTAGAACTCATAAAACTAGACAAAGAGCTGGCCTTTAAGAAAAAGCTAAATGGAACCAACCAGGCTGCCAGGATTTATTCTAGAGAAAAAAGTTATATGCCAACAAACATATAAACCAAAAGTGTATGGTTACAATTTGCCTTTTCAGACTATCTGGTTTGGGAGCTTAGTAGAACTTGAATTGAATACCAAAGTAGTAGGAATATATTATAAAGTCAGTACTGGGGTTGGAATGAACTCTACAAGAGCATAATGATTTAATAATACACCTTGACCACTAGTGTTAATCTTAGCTATAGTGATACTGGGTTAGCTGTAAGAATGGAATACAAAAGATTTTGAAAGGTTTAGTACAAGGTCAAAGGTTTTCCATATAAGTAAACTGCTTTAAAGACTTAGTAGCTATAGCATATTTTTATTAGCATTAGCCAGGGTTATTGGTAGACAGAGGTAGATAGGTAGATATAGAAACTAGAGTGGTTAAATAGGGAACCTACAGGCAGGTTCCAGGTATGGCAACTAGTGTAGAACCTTTGGACAGACTACTTAAATTAGATAATAACTAAAGTTGTATAAGTGGCTAGTTGTACATTCTTTTTATAGTTGCTCCCTGTAGTTGTAATACAACCATTAGCCAAATATATTATTAATAAAATCCTAGGTCACAAGTACTCATTTTAATATTTAAAAAAAAAAAATTTATTAATAATCACTATATTACTTACACTATGTTTCTAATATGGTACTCCTATGTATGCTTTATAAAAAAACCTATATGTATTAAAAAAAAGAAGAAAAAATCAAGTTTTTGGTTTGAATAGCTATTTTTATATTAATGGTTTAAAAAAAATATAAGCAAGATACAATTTATTTTGCTTACTGAATTACCTTAACCTATAAAGCAAAAAGTACATCTAATTACTAACTTCTGGATTAATTATTTGTTTTCTGAATTATTTTTATTATAGATAATGAAGAATATATATAATAAATTTTGTTTGACAATTCATTTTTATAACAGACAATTTATTTAGAGTCAGACAATATATGCAAGTTTTATTTAATAAAATAAACTATATTAAATCTGAAAAATTGAGTGTCTATTTCTTATTTAGCACTTTGAATTATTTATTTCTCTGTATGTTATCTATTTTCTTATTCATATCTTAATTTATCTAAATGCCTTAATTTAGTTATATAGTATTACTTCACCTTTATCTATAAATAATATTATTATTAATACATAGCATATTAGTAAGATAACATGATGAGTTATATATAACTAAAAAAAAATAATAGATGAATTAAAAAAGATGAAAAAAATAAAATATGTTATTTAATAAGATTAAAAGATTAGATAATGTATTCTAAGTGTATATAAAATTACTAAATTGTACATTGCCACAATTGTATTGCAGCAATGCTACTTTATATTATGATTTTGTCACATTTAACAATATTTATTTTGGCAATACAGAATTGTGAATCTTGTAAATTAATTTTGATGTTATTAAAGAGTTATAAGATTAATATTAGAAAATTGGCATTAGATATGATTTGTCCTAAGAGCAAAAAGTAAAAAATAAAAAATTGTGCTTAAGATTTGTAAAAGTATAAAAAGTATATAATTTTGTCTTCAATAAAGCTCTATACAATTCATTGTGTTGTATATTTTTAACTACAAAGACATATAGTTTTCTGTATATTAAATATTTTATTAGCTTAATAATCACCTTATTGTATAATAGTTCATTGCTTGATCACATATAAATAATTATTACTTTTTTATACTGAATTTATTCTTATAACTTATTAAAATCAACAATAATAGTGAATATTGGATTTATATTTAATCTACAAATTGAACAATAGAAGAAAACTGAAAAGAAAAAAAGTCAATTTATGGAAAGTACAATAGGAGAAATTCAAATAATAGATAGAGAAATGGAAGAAAGTCAAATAGATAAAATTCAAATAGAACAAAACTAAACAAAAGAGAGCCAGATTGATAAAAACTAAGTAGAAGAGATTTCTGTTATTTCAAACATATTTAGAAAATATAAAAGCAGAGAAAGAGCAACATTTTAGCAACATGAAATGCATTTTGCATAAGAGTGTAAGAAGCAATAGAAAAAAAAAGTGGCTCAGAAACTAAAATTCAAAAAAGCAGTAATAGTAGCAAAAACTATTGATATTAAGGATAAAGCTGGTATACAGAATTAAACTAATTATCAACAGATGTTTTATACTTCTCAAAGTAGTGACAACTATATACCAATCCACTGTCTGCTATCTTTAGTAAACTTGATAAAGAACTTTTAAAAAAATTTCAGCTTAAAATAGATAAATTAAAGCATACACAATGTTTCATATATAATAAAAAATTTCTATCAATAATGCTTGTCATAAGAAAATGCTGTTATTGCTATAATAAGAAAACTGTACCTAAAAAATTTTTATCAGGAAATAATATTAATTAAAAAATATACCTGAAAAACTTCAAGAACTTACTGAAATTGAAGAAATATTAATTGCATAATTTTTTCTGTAATGATAGTTTACAGATTTCATGAAAAACAATATAGATATAACAGAAATTTTATTAATTTTTTCAAATTCTTTACATGTCTTTCTCAACATCTATCTGAAAAAGATCCAATGACATTTAGAGACTTTAAAGTTTATAGAAACAAAGTTACTTGTGCATTATATAGGTTAAAAGCCAATAATTCTTATTATTCTGAAATTGATATAGACAATGAAGATCTTCAATCTTTACTAGAAAATGGTTTTCTTAATAATCAACTTCAAAATAACCAAATAACTAATGATAAAATTAATAAAGTGAATAAAGATAACATATTAATGTATACCTTCATCTCATTTCTTTTTTCAAATAACTGAAAAGATATTGCTATAAACAATACACTTAATTGCATGCTAAATAATAGTAATGTGAGAGAATGGCAATCCTAGTATAGTGGTTGGGTTGTCATCCTCCAAGTGGCAGATCTAAGTTTCAAATCCCACCTATGCCGAAATTTGAAAATTAACCTATGCTATGAAAATTGTCTTTTGTTGATTGATTGGCCTCATGTGGCTGTAATCCAGGTACACCAAGTTAGGTCTTACCTATCATTGGAAGCTTAGAGCATCTATGCAAAGTGTAATATTACACATACATAGAGGAATGTTAATAACCAGTGTTGCATAAGACTTCAGTGCAAACCTATGATAAGACTATCAAATGCAGAAAACTAAGGAACTGAGAAGATGAAATTCCACTTGGAAATTTCTAAGTAAAGAGGTAGTACAAACTTTTGACAGTGCTGTTGGACTGATGGAAATCCACAAAACACCTTTATAGAAACTGAAGATTAAAACCAGACATTAAGATGTATAGAGGAGCATATGACCAACCAGGCTGCCAGATTTACTAAAAGAAAAAATACTAAGGTATATCATACCAGGCTATCTGGATTGGTAGTTTGAAATGAAACTAATGGTTCTGAGTTGCAGTTAGTAGAGAATAATGAAAAAGATATTGGAAAGATAGGTACTAGAGTTTGGGTGAACTTTACAAGAGTAGAAATAGTATAATATAGTGATTTAAGATTAGTCCTGACTACAAGTATTAGATAACTATAGCATGTTATATAAAACTAGGTTAGCTGTGTATAGGACACAAAAGGCTTTAGTAACAATGCTTCTAAGAATATACTGCATAAAATAAGATATGGGGTTCTAAGAATACAGATAAGCATCTAGACCTTCTTGACTGACTTATATAGTAGAGATGATCTAGTGATACAGTAAGGTTGCAGTACAGAGGGTTTAAATAGACAACACCTCTAGTTGGATTGCAGGTATAGCAACTAGTGTAGAACCATTGATGGACTACTTAATTAAATACCAAAAGTGTACATATGACTAGTTGTACTCTTTAATATAAGGAAACTCCTTTGAGGCCTTGGTTGTGAGTCTCTATATCCTAACTATACTGAATAAAAAGCTAGTTTAACACAAAAAAAAAAATAATAATAGTAATGCTATAATATAATTACAAATTAATAACACTCCTATTAATGAATTTTAAACTTCAAGTTATATTATATATGCATTTCTAACTTTTCATTCAACTGAATGTGCAGATCTTCAAACAGAATGTATTAAATATATAAAACTAGCAAAGTACTTTAAACATTTATTACAATATAAAGATAGAGGTTTCATCTGTCATAATCACTGAAGATATTTTACACTCAATTCTTAAATAAGATGGCAAGTACTACAAGAAGAAAGAGTGTATATTAGGCAAAATTTTAATACTAATCAGCTTACAGTAACAGAAATTCAAGAACAAATTGCTAGTGGTAATACACATATGACTAATCAGATTATGAGATTCAGTTAGTGTTTGCATAAATCAAGACAGTTTTGAAATGCAAAACATTGTGAACTATCTAATATAATTAAGCAATTAGGCTTACAAGAATTAATATTCTTTATATTTAGTACTGCTAATCTACATTGGTTTGAGCTTTATAAGCTCATGCTATTTAATAAAAATTATAATCAAAATATTGTTAACAACCCTTATATTGCAACTTGGTTTTTTAATAAATGTTTTGAAATCTTCTTTAATAATGTGTTAATAAAAAAATGAAAGTTAAAAAATTAGTGATATAAATTCAAATAGCAATATTGTAGTAGTATTTATGTGTATAGAATTGGTAAAATGAAAAATGCACTTAAAATTAAATAGGAACAAATAAAAAAAAATGAAAACTCTCTAAAAGAGATAGCAAAATATATTAAAACCCTTGTTATCACAATTAATTTGAAGCCTAATGCCCTTATTCCTGAAAGACATCTATGTTAAAAATGTCATAAAGAACTAAATAATGATTTATAAAATTATATTAAATTAGTTAACAAATTACAAAGACACACATGATGTAGCTCTGTATATTGTCTTCATGCCAATTGTACAGAACAGCAACAGTGTAGATTTAAATACTCTAAAAAAGAAAGCAATTATACCTTTTTGCATAATAACAAGCATAATCATCCAGAGCTCATAACTGCAAGAAATAATGTATATGTTGTGCCTCAGAATAATGTAGGCCTCAGCTGACAGCTGACGTATCTCAGATATCGATCGTCAGGTGAGGTGCCTCAGATAGTTAATCGATACCTAAGATGCGTCGACTGTCATTTGATGCAATTATTATATCACTGTAATATACAAATATTTTAAATTTTTTCTTTATTTAAAATAATAAAGCTTTATTCATAAACTAGAAAACTATAAAATATATATTATACTAAGATTTGTTTTGACATGACCGCCCACTATGATATTGACTACTACATTGACTACCATTTTTTTTACAACAGCATTTTTTAGAATTACATTCACCTTTGCAGTAACAAATCGCAGAGGATGGACCTGCACTTTGAAGACGTGCTGCTTCCCTAAGTGATATTTTGTTAGTTGGTATACTATTAAGCTCAGGAAAGTCAGTAACACCAAAAGGTTCAAGTTCGCCAGCACAATAATAAACATCAATGACGCCAAATTTTGATCCCAACTGATACTAATCATTTTCAGTTTTAGCTAGTATTTTACATGGAAGAGTTGGTCGGTCAATGCTAAACCAGTCAATTTTGAGAATCACAACTCTTACCAAATCACCAATTACATAATCCAATATATGCTTTTTGCTTTTGGACATCTGGTTTGCCATTTTTTCAACATACTCTTCCAGATTTTGGCGAGCTGATTGGCGCAAAATTTCATGCCCAGTAATATCAGCAAGTGGAGTAGTAACGGTACTAGAATCAACATGCAAGGTAGCGGTAGTATTGGAATCAGCAAGCAGTGTAATGACAGCATTGAGAGATTGACTTGATGAAATATTATTTAGAAATTTTTCATCATCTATATGTAAATAAATTTGTATTAAAATA